ACAGCCGCGTGCTCGACCGGCGCTATCCCTGCCCGTTCGCGCCGCGCGTGCGGCCCCAGGGCAAGGTTCAGCTCGCGGAGGGGCCAGCTTCCTGGAGGGCGGCGTTCGCTGCGTTACCCTCCTGAGCTGGTGCGCGCTCTGGCGCGGGTGCTGCGGGATGCCGCCCCGCGCGGGGACCTCCGCCGCCCGTGTGAGCCGCGGGTTGCCGTCGACTGAGAGCGACGCCTGGCAGCCGCGGTCGGGGCGGGCGGCTCCGCAGCCCGACCAGTGGTCCTCCCGGCGATCCCCCGGCTCTGCCCGCTGGAGTGGAAGGGGGCCACGGCGCGCCGAGGCCGCCGTCGCCGCTTATCGTCGGGCTCGCCGCTCGGCGGCGCGAGCGTCAGCGCCGGGCCGCCCGTCGCGCTGGCGCCTATGGCTCCGGCGACGGGGTCTGCCGCCGGGCGTCGGTTCGCCCCCGGGCCGCCCGCGCCTGCGCCGCGGCCCGCGCGGAGCTGGCGGCTTGGGCGGCTGGCAGAGGGCCGAGGGCGACGACGCCGAGCGATTGGGACGCAGTGATGGACAAGTACCTGGACAGCCTGTTCGTCCACGGCGACAGCCCGTCCGCTGGGCGCTGCGCCGTCTACGGGTCGGCCTGCGTGCTGTGGCTGCCGCCGCGAGCCAGCGCGACGTTCCTTCTGGTCAAGGCGGCGGGGTTCCTCCGAGCTGCCCCCGAGCGCCCGCGCGACTCGCCGAGCTGTGAGTTCCTGGCGCTGGTGACCCCTGCGCGGCTCTGCGGGGGCCCAAGCGTGGCCGCTGACGGTTCAGAGGCGGCAGCTGCGTCGTGGGTCGCCTTCGACTGCTGCCTCGGGCCCAGTGAGGTGCGGGCGCTCTCGGCGGCCAACGTCGCGCTGCCAAGGCAAGGTTGCCCTGGCGCCATCGTCGCCGTGGCGCCGGCGACGGGCGCGCTGCCGGCCAAGAACAGAACGTTCGACTCCTCGGCGGTGGCTGGCGCGCGCGACCGCCCGTGGGTGTCTGAGCCTCTCAGTCCTCTGTCGCCGGCGCTCTGACGGGCCCCTGTTTCGATTGACTTCAGGCAGATGAGAGGGCATGTGCTGAGAGTTTCGTCGCAAGCATTTCTCAGAGTCTCTAGCTCTGTCTCCTCGCTCGTGGCGTCATGCAGGGCCCTCTCGCGATAGTTGGTTTTTCAAATCGTCTGAGGGTGCTATCCAGCAGAGAGGGAGATGGCTGCCTGCAAATTCGGTCAAGCGATATTCGAAGCCAGCAGGAATGTTGCGTAGTAGAAGATTGCTTTCCTCAGCCCAGCTAGCGCGTGCTAAGCAAGTTCTGCCCCGCCTCGGCCAAGATGTCCTGGAACATTTCAAAGGTCCCACCCAAACCAGCCCTTCCGGTAAACCGCCCCAAGAAGGTTTCTGGAAGTTTGGGCACAAGGCTGCAGGCCTGCAAGGGGCCTGCATCCTTACTTTAAGACCGGGGTGTTGACCCCCCCAGGATCATGCTTGTGCCGTGGAAAAGGGGGGGGGTGTTCTTGATGTGCTTGAGTTTTCACAGGGCTCTCGCCCGCGTCGCCCGCCCCTCTCGCTGCCCCGTGGGCCTCGTGGCCCTTTGGTGCTCTGACGTGGTGGGGTGTCTTGGCTCTCCGCGTAAGACAAGGCGGCGGTTGGCAGTCTTTGATTGATGGTGTGCCATCGTATCGTTGTCGCGATCGTAGCCGGCCCCGCTTCAAGTTTTTGGCTCCTCCTCTTTTTCTCCCTTTTTTTCTTCCTGTTCCTGATATCATCCTTAGCCGATCACAGTGGTCGCAAGGCTGCAGGCTTGCAAGAGGCCTGCAACCTCACTTTAAGACCCGGTTGTAGACCCCCCAGGATCATGCTTGTGCCGTTGAAAAAAGGGGGTGTTCTTGATGTGCTTGACTTTTCTCAGGGCTCTCGCCCGCTCCGCCCGCCCCTCTCGCCGCCCCGTGGGCCTCGTGGTCCCTTGGTGCTCTGGCGTGGTGGGGTGTCTTGGCGCTCCGCGTAAGACAAGGCGGCCGTTGGCAGTCTACGATATATATATATATAAATATATATATATATATATATGTATATATATATATAATATACATATATATATATATATATAATATATAATATATATATATATTCATATATAGGTATACGTATGCATGTATATATAAGCATATTTTTTATATATAGATGTAATGCATGCATTCACATACACATACACACATAAACACATATATATATTTCTATATGTATGTATGAATGTATGTATATATGTATATATGTATGTATCCATGTGTATACATGTCTCTATGCATGTATGTATGTATGCATGCATGCATGCATGCATGCATGCATGTATGTATGTATGTATGTATGTATGTATGTATGTATGCATGCATGCATGCATGTATGTATGTATGTATGTATGTATGCATGCATGCATGCATGCATGCATGCATGTATGTATCGTAGACTGGTGGGGTGTCTTGGCGCTTGGTGCCTGGGTTGCGGGTTAGAAGTTGCGTTCTTCAAATGGTGTTTTGGGCGTCATTTGAGCTTCTTCTTGGGGTCTTTTTGGGGCCTTTTGGGGGCCTTTTGGGGGGCCTCTTGGGGGGCCTCTTGGGGGCCTCATGGGCCCTGTTGGGCGCCTCTTGGGCCCGCCCCCTCTGGCGCTGTTTGGGGGCGGAAGGCTCGGATTGTTGGTTCAGGCTCCCCCTCATGGGCCCCTCTTGGGGCCGTCTTGGGGCACTCTTGGGCCGTGTTGGGAGCCTCTTGGGCCGTCTTGGCGCCTTCTTGGGCCTTCTGGAGCGCTTTTGGGAGCCTCTTGGGCTGTTTTGGGGCGGTCTTGGGGGACTCGGGGGTCTCTTCTACGCCGTGAAGGCCGAAAAGTCGTGCATGATATCAATGTACGCTGTCCGATAGGAACTCGACGATGTTGGCCCCTGGGGCCCCTCTCGGGAATGCTCTTGGAGGCTTCCTGGGCCGTCTGGGAGGCTTCTGGGGCCGTCTTGGGGCCACCCCGGGGCGTCTTGGGCCGACCTCTGGGCGTCTCGGGGGCCTCTGGGGCCGCCGTGGGGGCTGCTCGGAGCCCTCTGGGGCCTCGTGGGGCCTGCTGACACCTTTGCCCCCCCCCCTCTCCAAACCGGCCGGACGGGGCTCCCGGGGGAGGGGTTTGTCGGGGGTGGACAGAACCCCCAACAGTGACACGTCGATTAGTGAATTGTCCGTTTTCGGTTCTCGAGAGCGCGCCGTGGCCGTTATTTTCCAGGCTTGCGCCCGCCAGGTTTGGGCCTCAGGTCGTTTTCACTAAACCACGTTTTACTAAAGGGGGGTCTGTCCATCCCCGAGGTTTGGGGAGGGGGAAGCATCTCACACGCCGTGACCCCATCGGGTCGGCGGATTGTGATGCCGTGGTGGTGAGCCTCGTGCCGGTGAGGACGATGGTGTTGACGATGGCGATGAGGATGATGATGATGCGTTATACTGATGAAGGTGCCGCTGGGGCTGATGCTTCTGCTGTTCATGGTGATGAGGATGACGATGATGATGGTGGGGGCAAGGACGATATCGATGCTGATGAGGATATCAATAACGATGTTGATACTGATGATGACTATGTTGAGGATGTTGCTGATGACGACGGCGATAATGATAATGCTGCTCCTCATGGTGGTGATGATGCTGCTGCTGATGATGGTAAAGATGGTGACGATGATGATGATGCTGATGATGATGATGATGATGGTGTTGATGATGATAATGATGATGAAGAGAATGGTGTCACTGATGATGATGGTGTTGTTGCTGCTATTGGTGATGATGTTGGATGCTACTGCTGCAGATGATGATGCTGCTGCTGATGATGAGTATGATGCTGATTCTGATGATGATGATAATGCCGATACGTATGCTGATGCTGAAAAATAAAGTGGTGAGGATGATGCCGATGATGCAGATGATGATGATGATGATGATGATGCTGATGATGATGATGAGGATGATTGTGATGATGATGATGATGATGATGATGATGGCGATGATGATGACGATGATGTGTATGATGGTGATTATGCTGCTGACAATGATTTAGATGACGATGACGAAGACGATGGCGATGACGACGACGCCGACGACGACGACAACGATGATGATGACGGTGATGCTGATGATGATGCCGAGGATGATGATGTCGACCACGACGATGATGGTAACATTGCTGGTGATGCTGATGATGATGACGATGCTGATGATGATGGTGTTGATGACGATGACGATGATGCTGATGATACGGATGATGGTGAGGATGATGATGATGGTCATGATGCTAATGCTGCTGATTATTATGATGACAATGACGTTGATGCTGCTGCTGATTATGATGATGTTGATGATTATGATGCTGGTGGTAATGCTGATGCTGACAGAGATTTTGATTCGAGTGATGATACTGTTGGTGATGATGCTGATGCTGATGATGACACTGCTTGTGATAATGTTGATGATGATGACGACGAGGACGACGACGATGATGCTGCTGTTACCGCTGCTGGTGATTATGATGGTGATGAAGCTGTTGCTGATGATGATGATGATGATGATGATGATGATGGTGATGGTGATGTTGCTGATGCTGATTCCGATACTGCCGATGACGACGACGATACTTATGATGACGATGATGATGACGATGATGCTGATGATGGCGATGATGATGACGATTGTAATGATGCTGACGATGATGATACTTGTGATGCTGCTGCTGATGATGATGAGGATGGTGGTGGTGGTGGCGGTGATGATGATGAGTATGGTGATCAGGATGATCATGCTGATACTGATGATGATGATGCTGATGATGATAATGATGATGAAGAGGAGGATGAGGAGGATGCTGTGGTGGTGGCGATGGTGATGGTGACGAAGACGATGGTGTTCATGATGGCGCTGTCACCGCCGCCTTTTGACTTCCCTGCTACTGGGCGCCGCGCGGATCTTGAGGCCATCCCCTCCCACTTCAACGCGCCCCTGCCAGTGACTGCAGCCACTGTCAGGACGCCCGCGAACGCAGCTGCAGTCTGGGGAGGAGGGAAGATCCAGGAGGGAGGAGGGAAGGAGGGAGATGAGGAGGAGGGAGAGGGAAGAGCGAGGAGGCGGGGAGGGAGGAGGGAGGAGCGAAGAGCGAGGAGGGAAGAGCGAGGAGGGGGAGGGAGGAGAAGGGGAGGAGGGAGAGAACTATACGTAGGAAGGTCTATTTTAGGAATCAGCAGGGGCGAGGAGGGAGGTATGAGGCTGGTGGCGGAGTGAGGACGCAGGAGGAGAAGGAAGGGATGGGGAGGAAGATAAGGGAAAGGACGTTTTCGTCTCGCCCTCGCCCCTTTCCTCCTCCCTTCTCCCTCCATCCTCCTCCTCCTTCGTCCCTTTTCCCTCCTCCTCCTCCTCCTCCTCCTCCTCCTCCGCCTCCCTCTTCCCCCCCCTCCCTTCTCCCTCCATCCTCCTCCTTCGTCCCTTTTCCCTCCTCCGCTGCCTCACCTCCAATCCCCACGTCGTCCTTCCTTCCGCCACCGCCCTCCCTCGTTCTGCCACTCCTGCTTCCTCCTCCGCCCATCCCCTCATGCGTCGTCGCCCCCCCGCGTTTTCTTCCTCCTCCTCTTCTTCCTCCTCCTCCTCCTCCTCCTCTTCCCTCCTCCTCACTCCGCCTCCTCTTCCTCCCCGCCTCTTCATCCATCTCCACCTCCTCCCCCTTCCGAGTCCTCCTGATCCTGCTGAGGCTTCCTCTCTCCTCCCTCTTCCCTTCCCCCCTTCCCTTTCCCCTCCTCCCCCTCCCTTCCCCCCTTCCCTTCTCCCCCTTCCCTTCCCCCCTTCACAATTACTCAATATGAAAATACTCTCCCTCTTCCCCTGATGGCGTCCGGGTGATGGCCGCGCACCCTCCGCGTACTGTTTTTTTACACACAGGATTCCCGGGAAATCCCGGGAAACGACTCTCGCTGAGGCGCCGGCGTCATTTTTTCCCAAAATGCTGCTCTCGTTGAGGCGCCGGCCTCATTTCTGCTCCCGAATCGTGCCGAATCGTGCTCCCGCTGCAGCGTGGGCCTCATTTTCGGATCGGTGTTTGGCCTCCGTCGTTCAGGATGGCGTTCTCGCCCCAGCGCGGGCCTTTTTCTCGCGCGCCCATCCGCCCGCCACCACCGCGCCGCACCGCCACCACCACCACCACCACCACCACCACCACCACCACCACCACCACCACCACCACCACCACCACCACCACCACCACCACCACAGCACCAGCACCAGTACCAACACCACCACCACCAGCACCACCAACCACCAAACAAGCACCAACCACCACACCCCCAACACCAACCACCACCACACCACCCCCACCACCACACCACACCACCACCACCCTACCACCACCACCACCACCACCACCACCACCACCACCACCACCACCACCACCACCACCACCACCACCACCACCACCACCACCACCACCACCACCACGACAACCACGACAACCACGCACACACGCACGCACGCACGCACGCACGTGCACCACCACCCACTACGCACGCGCGCGCGGAGCCACAGGTCCGCTACGACACGCGTCCGCGGATAGAGAAAATCAGCGCCATGGTAAGGGATGGGAGGGAGGGGTAGGACGTCAGATATGACGCGAGCGCACCTAGCTTGCCTTCCCCCCCTCCCCCCCTTCCTTCCCCCTTCCCTTCCCCCTTCCTTCCCCCATTCCCTTCTCCACTTCCTTCCCCCCTTCCTTTCCCCCCTTCCGTTCGTTTCCCCCCCTTCCCCCCCTATCCCCCCTTTCATTCCCCCCTTCCCGTTCCCTTTCCTCCCTCCCCTTCCTTTTCCCCCTCCCTTCCCCCCTCCCTCCCCCCCTTCCCCCCCCCCGGCCTCCCGAAAATGGCAGGACTGGTCTGTCCGGAGCCCCCTCCCTAGGAGAAGGAGGCTCGACTGATCAGCAGATGGCCCTGCCACGTTTCTCCCCCTCGGCATAGCGGGATGACAGTCGCGTCGGTGCCTCGCGTGGGTGCGAAGATAACTAACTTTTTCCCCCACTGTACTGCCTAGGAGATGTGGTCGTAGCCTTTCCTCCTTCCTAGCTTTGCAGGATGGATGTGTCCCATACGTCGTGTTGCCCACTCCTTTCCCATCCTGATCAGCGAGTGTCTCGCGTGGTCGACGTGGTGTGCTGTCACACACGTCCATGATAGATGGGGGGAGGGTTTGGAGGGTGGCGTTCAGGTTCGGTGTGGGAATGGTGTTGGAATTCTTGGATACGTAGTCGTCACGCTTTGGCTGCTACGTGCAGAAGATGGCGGCTGCCAGTCAGATGTGTCCCAGCCTTGACCCCGCTCGTTTTCTGCTGCTCTGGGATTGGAAGTTTAGGATATGTGTCCCAGTCTCACTCTCCCTTCTCGGTTTCATCTACCATCATGCAGCCATTTCTCTCCCTTCTCCCTCCCCTCCCCCTCCCGAGTGGCCAAGAGGCACGACGCGGTCGTCGTTTCTTTGTTCGACCTGATGCCCGCCACTTGATTTGAGAGAGGAGTGATTGGGGGGGACGCTGACGTTGGTGGGGACTAGGGTTGCACTGCGGCGTTGGTGCAGGCACGGGCCGCAGGTCGAGTGTGCGAATATCGTGCAATCCCGCAGCCCCCTGCCTCACGCCAGCCCGCTAAGCTGGCTTCCGGTCCTTCGCAGGCCATCTCACCAGCTCCCCTCTTTGATCTGCCTCCTCTTGCCCCCCCCCTCCTCCTGCGCCGGTGTGGTGCGCCCTGAGCGCCTTCAGACGATGAGGCGGGGGGGGGTGGCAGGACAGGACGGGGGCGGGGAGATTCACCAAACCTTGGCGCCCGTGCTGCATGTGCGCACTGTTGCAGCAGCTAGTAAGTGCCGCACTAAGCTGACCGTCTCTTCGGCGAATCAGAGCGCCCTCGAGGGCGCGAAATGATTCGCGCCTCGCGCTTCGCCGTTCGGCTCCGCTTCCTCCTCATCCTATTTCGCGCTTCGCGGTTCGGCTCCGATTTCTCCTGTTCTTTTTCTGCCCCGAGGTGGCGGCGCAGGAACGCGAAGTTATGCGCGCTTCGCGCTTCGCGCTTCGCGCTTCGCGCTTCGCGCTTCGCGCAGCGCGACGCGCGAAGTTAGGCGCCCTTGCTAACAGAATTTTGGACCGAATGGGGAGGGGGAAAGTGAGGCGGCTGACAGCCCATTCTCTCAGCCGCCCGTGCACCCCCGGCGAGCGGGGGTCGGCGGATTTCACCCTTTCTCAACTCAGTACTGGTGCGACTGCAGGGGGAGCTGGGGAGTCCCCGGACTGGCGGAAGGAGCTCGAGAGCCCCTTGACGGAAAAGGGAAATGCCATTGCGAAGCTTCGCCTAGCGCTCTCCCCCCCGCCCCGTGTCCACCCCTTCCCCTCCCCCCCTGCACCTTTTTCCAATGCCCTCTCGAGCATGGAGCACGGAACACGGGCACATTTTATCGCCCGTATGGAAGCATAAAGCGGGAAGTGGTGGGCGATCTTCATGATCATGATGGTGGTGGTGGTGGCGACGACGACGATGACGATGATGCTGGTGCTGATGATTACGTGGTTGAGGGCAATGAACACGAGGACGATGTTGATGCTGACGAGGCCAAACACGGATTAGCATTGCGATGGGGAAAATGAGGAGGGACGCAATTTTGAGAATGATGAGGTATGCGAGTGAACACATGATTATTTTAAAGAGGCGAAGGGTGCGAGGACGCTGCGAACAATCGACAAGACAACGGAACACAAACTCTCGCCCGCTTGCTGGTGGCTCCACATTGGGCCTTCGCTCGCGCTGGCATGCACTTAACACCGGGTGCAGCCACGGCCACCATCCTCGTCTCGTCGTCTTGGGTTTTTTTTGCTTGGTTTTTCTCTACCATCGGCGCTCGAACGCCTGACCTTGCCTTGTGGACCACCCTACACATCGAGGGTACCTTGGCGCGCCCTTCCCTTAGGGCGGCTGCCCCCCCCTCCGTGCAGCATCCGCCAGTCCCTGCTTCGTTGCAGCTTTGTCGGTCTGACCCGCTTGGCGAACTTTCGATGGTACTGTTCACTTTTAGCGTGTCCCGTTTTGTCTTCGCTGTGTTGGACCAGCTGGCCGCGAAGGAAAGTGTGTGTGTGTCTGTGTGAGTGTCACACATCGAGGGTACCTTGGCGCGCCCTTTCCCCAGGGCGGCTGTACCCCCCCCGCTCAATGCGGCGCGCGCGCGCGTGTCCCTGTTGCAGCTAGCGTTGGTTTTGGGACCGCTCCCGGTCGTGTTCTTGCCAAGACCAGCGTGCACGGCTCGACGCTTCTGTGTTCCCCTGCTCGGCGGAGCACTTCCTCGGCGCTCCTCGCCCCAGCGCGGAACGGCCAGCCTGGCGTGTGCTATGCTCAGTCGGCCTCATCGGGTGCCCCCCCCGTGATCTGTCATTTGCCTCCTTGGAGCTGCCTTCCTGGCCTTGGGTCGGGCATGTCTACGTACAGGCGGATTTTGGGACGGCATTCTAACATAGTCAGCAATATCCAGATACAGCCCAACAGTAATAGAATAACCGTCCCCATCTTACCTCTGGGCAAGTTTTGAACATATCACCCGTAGAGAGAGACATGCCCGACGTAGCCCCAGCCTCCTGGCCAGGCGGCCCCGCGTGGCTGCCCTGTCCCTGGCGCGCCGCCCGGTGGTGTCGCCCTCCTCCCCTTCCCGCCGTCGTGCGTCGCTGCTATGCTCCCTGCTCTGCTCGTCCCTCGGGCTTCCCTCCCGTGTTTTTTTTTTTTTTTTTTTTTTTTTTTTTTTTTTCTCTCTCTCTCTCTCTTGCTGTCGTCGGGTCGTTCGCTGTCACTCGGCGGCGAGCGAGGGGGGGGGGTAGTGAGCAGGAGAAGGCACTCAGAAGGCGGCGGGACTTCTCAGCAGCCCTCGCGCCCTGTGAGAGGTTCTCTTCTGTCCTCGGGGAAGGCCCAGAGAACTTCTCAGAAGGCCGGGGGACTCGCGAGCCTTCTGAGAAGGCCTTCTC